AGTGAAATATGACTAAGCTGCTTGGATTTGCTTTCTCAGTCTACCATGTAATGACATTTCCTTCAAAGTTCAGGGGTTAGCAGAGGCAGTGTGTTCAGCTGTGAGAATTAGAGAATGTGATTCAAGAGGAGCTCAGTTAATTTCAGATTCCATTTCCAAAAACCAAGAGGAACAGGGAAATAATGCAACGGCCTTAAATATTTGGAATCTTTTCTTTAAACAGGCTAGAAATAGAAGCTGTGCATCTTTGTGGTTCCATAGGATCACTTGTTTTTCATTTTATTAGGTTTTTTTTAAAGAATGATGGAGCCAATTGCGATCAGTGTAAACCTGAAAGCAACCTGAAATGGGAATTGACTGGGTGCTATTGAAGACACAGTGACATTAAAGACATTGCTGGTTCTGAAGTAGAATGGGGGTGTGTGTGGATTCGTTTCTTCAGTAGGATGTGGCTGTCCTGCTGCGGCTGCTCAACTCAGGTGCTTAAGGAATCAGGGCTCCCAGGTGGCTTAGCTCATTGCTGTAACCACAAACTGGGCTCCCCCATCTGACTGGTGCCTTACAAAATGTGAACTGCCCTTTCTGACGTTGGTCTGGCAAATACTGCATGAGTTGTGTCGGGAAATGGAAAGGACAGCCGAGGAATTAGGCAGGGCCCCTAGGGAGGCAGTCTAGTACAGGGGAGTTTCTCACTGTCACAGTGAGTTGAATTAGTCATTTTGGGGATTCTAATGAACTGTCTGCAGAGGGTACAGATGCTACTTGGAATGAAGTAGCAAGGGATTTCTTCCTGTGCCAACCCACGGATGGCTTTTCTGTGTTTTCCTATGCCTCGTGGGAATCTCAAGTGTATGAGCATGACTGCAATGCCCCTCAGAACACCCACTTATGTTTTTTATTTGAGGGAAGGCTTCATCTATCTCAGACTGGCTCAGGCTTGATATGCAGTTGAAGATGAACATGGCCTTCTGATCCTCTTGCTTCGGCCACCTGACTTTTGAGATTACAGTGATGCCTCAACACTCCTGGGTTAAATAGTGCTAGTGGTCAAATCCAGGACTTTGTGCAGGCTAAGCAGGCACTCTACCAGGCAAACTACACCTCGATTCCTTACTGGTGTGTTTTCACTGGTTCCATCACTTGCTGTGTCTGTGACTTCTATTCTGGATTTTAGTTTAGTCATTTAAGGAAGTGGGGAAATAACTGTTGCATATTGCAGGCTTGTTGGGAAAAGCAAGTGCAATGAAAAATTTTTATCTTAATATCTTATAATATCAAAAGATCCTAACCTTATAACAACAGACATGGTTTCTATAATTCATGGTTCTGTAGGTTGGGGAGTCCAAGATGAAGTTGCTAGTAGAGCCAGTATCCTCATATGGTGGAATGGAGAAAGCAACTGTTTGGGATCCTTTCACTTATTTATTTTTAACTTTATGTGTGTGAGTTTTTGCCTGAATGTATGTCTTTGCATCGTGCGTGTGCATGGTACCAGTGGAAGCTAGAAGGTGTCATATCCCCTGGATCTGGAGTTATAGGCGGTTGTGAGCTGCCACGTGGGTGCTGTGAATCAAACTCTGATCCTCTGGAGAGCAGACAGTGCTCTGTGGTGGCCAATGCCTGTATTCCCAGTGCTCTGGATGCAGAACCAGGAATATCAGAAGTTGAAAGGTAATTCTTGGCTATAGCGTGTTTGAAGTCTAGCCTAGACTCTATGAGACCATGTCCAAAACAGGGAGAGCATTAGTGAGGTAATAAAGAATGCAACAGGGGATTGGAGGAATGTCTTCTAAGGCCTCTTTGCCTTACATGTTGAAACTGAGAGTGATGCTGCAAGGATCTATTTGTAAAGTCAGAAATAGTAACTTCTGCACAATTTACACTGGCAGATCCCCAAGATTTCAGAATTCACAACTGGTGTTTAGAGGATGGAAAATAGGTTTTGATGTTATTGTGGATTTCCAAAATGGAAAAATATTGGAAAACGTGCGACAACTAAATGTCTTGTCTCGTTTCGTCTGCTGATGTTGGAGTGGAGTTTGGCTGACAGTGAGTGTTCAAAGAAGAATCCCTAATGAGGCTTAGTGCCTGTCTTCACTATTGCTTACCCACAATAGACTTTCTGTTGTTTGTAAACTTGAACCGCTGTCATCCAATTACTGGAGTGATATCTTGGGATTCTCTAGCAATAATTCAAATTCATTTTCTCATGTCTGAGCCATAGAAGTGGTAAAATGAATGGAGGGTGGGAGTCTTGCTGTTTATCTGACCTCCACATATCTAAATGAACTAACTGACTTATTTCTGGACCAAAACAGGAATAAAGCAAGTTCAGCTAATCAGACTCTTGCTCATATACCAGACACTAAAAAGAATAGTGAGTGTTTCACAGAGTACTACGTGATGATATCATCACAACTTTGTCATGATTTGACCTCAACTTAAAAAGCACTTTGGACAATTATGCACTTTACATTTCCACAGGTCCCAGGGTTTGCAGATAGAAAGAGGGATTAGTTCTTCATTTCATGACATTAGAGTGAGGTGTGGTAGCTCAATCCTGTAATACCAACACTTGGAAGGCAGAGACTATATACAGTGTGTTCCAGGCCGGCCAGAGCTACATAGCCTGTATAGAAAGCAAACCAAAGAAAAATAACAAAAATAACAAAAATGATGTTCTTTCTATTCCAGTGGGCTATATAGCACCTCACTTCTCCTTGGTTTTCTTATCCCACTACACCTTAAGGGACTCCCCTACTTTTTCCCAGTTGGGTACCAATGCACTTGGTCTTTCTAGACACCGCATCTGTAAATTTTGATCTCACATTTCTCCTTTGCAATATGGTCTAGATGGCTGACAAATGGAAGTGATGTTCTCTCTCCAAATATTTTCTTCTCTATAAGATAACCAGGCCAAGTTCATGGAAGATCTAGAGCAGAACTTCCAATGCTCAATTTGGAGAAACTGAGGATGTGGCTCAGTTTGTAAAGTACTTGCCCAACATATAACAAGGCATGGTGGGACACACCTCTTACTCCAACACCTGAGAGGTAGAAGCAGTGAGCTCAACATTTCAAGGTCCTCCTTGACTATAAAGGATATTCAAGGCCAGTCTGTGCTACATGCAACCCTGTCTTTAAAAACATCAGTTTAGAGCTTAAGAATGTACGGTGTAGTAAAGGCTGTCTGTAGGTGTGTTGGGTTCCCCAAATGCTCTTAAACAATAATCCCTGTGCCTGTTTTTCCACTCGTCCCTAAAGGCCCCCTGTAATGTCTTCCTGTACAGTTCCTGCTGCTACAGAACAGGCTAGCTGTGAGAACAGCATCTGTGGAGAATCTCAAGTATATTTGGGTTTTCTCAAAAGGGAACTGGGTGCAGTCCAGGCAACTTCCTCATTCAAACAGTGACTCTCGTTGATGTATGTTTTATTTTATGATCAGTTCATATGTTCTAAAACTCAGTCAAGTACCAGTCTATTTTAAGAATCCAGTGTTGCAATTTGCAAGCAATCAACCCGGGAAAGAAACAAGTACACAAGTAAAACAAGGGACATATTTTCATCACAGGATTTACTCTCGTGTGTCTATTCTCCTAGCATTACATTTTAAACATTTGGGATGTAATACCATTTCACTCTTCACGTATATTAATGGTACCCTTTTATTAAAAGTCTATCTTTGCTTCTTATTTGTCTATTTGTTCTCTCTCTCTCTCTCTCTCTCTCTCTCTCTCTCTCTCTCTCTCTCTCTCTCTTTCTCTCTCTCTCTGTGTGTTAAGTAGTTGACGTTTTACTTCCACATGTGAATTCTGGGACTCTAACTCAGGTTGTCAGACTTATGACGTAGACTAAGTTGGCGAACTTTTGGTGATACTCCCGCTTCAACTTGCTGAGTGCTGGGATTACTAGTGTGAGTCACCACGCTTGGCTTACATCTATGCTATTGACTGACTAGATTGTTCCTGAGCTTGATGCACTAATTAGCCTCAATGTACATGTCAGAGATTATAAAAAGCTTTAGCCCATCATAACATAGGGAATGGAATATATTTTAAAACCAACATTTTATACTGCATTTGAAACAATGGGGCTGGTGAAATGCCTCAGTGGTCCAAGGCCCTTGTCTGACAACCAGAGTTAATTCACCAGGGAGGACATGGTAGGAGAGAACTGACTCCCAAAAGTAGTCCTCTAACATATGCACATAAATATCCAAAATAATACAGCAGCAGGTAATTGGCACTTTCAGTAGGAACAGTAATCTCTCTGGTAGCAAAATCTGGCAACGTGGATTTTTATTTTTAGGCAGGTCTCATTCTAGCCCAGGCTGATGTGGAGCTCACTCTGTAGCCCAGGCTGGCCTGAAATTCATGGCAATCTTCCTGCCTCAGCCTGCCAAGTGTGACAACTACAGATGTGACCCATCGTGCTTGGTCAGAAATGTCAGAAAGGCCTGACATTATAGCTGGAAAAGTCACCCAAAGCCAGGAAGAACTCACAAGCTCAGGCAGACGGAGAGTCCAGTCCTCTCAGTTCACAGATGAGAAAACAGGAAGTAAGGCTGCGGAGCAAAAGGCAGGTTGGGACAGAAGTTCTGCAATGTGGCATTGGGATCCTAAGCAGTTGGGTAGCGCCAGAGAGGAAGGGGAGGAGAGACAGGGGCTTGTGACAGTGCTGCCAGTGAGGACATTGAATAAAAGGTAAAGCAGAAAGCCTCACCTTCCTGTAGACTTCTGGGGCCCTTGCAGAGATGTTGGGCAGTAAGTGGAACCTGTGCACACGAGCTTCCTGTAACTGGCTGAGGGGTCTGAGTATGTGCTGCAGATTTCCTGGTGGGTGCTGCTCAGCCACTGCTCTGGTTTCTCCAGAAGATGGGCAGAGGTTTGCATTTTGTCTTGTACACAGTTTTCCCTCTTGAGTACTGGAGGAAGGGGCCTTTTGACAGTTTCGTTGATTACTTAACAACATCTTACAGTTTCAAATTTCCTTTCTAATAGGTATTTGAGCCTGATGACCTCTATTCAGGGGTCAATTTCTCCAAGGTTCTGAGTACACTTTTAGCTGTCAACAAAGCAACAGAAGGTAAGACATGTTGATGATTTATGATTCATGTTTCTAGAAGCCAGCTGTGGCCACAGTTGTTCAAATGGTGCAAATTTCTTCCCTTCACCCAAACAAACATAAGGCACTTTCATTTTAATAACTGAAATGTATCTACCACAGAATAACAAGAAAATATATGTACCCATCATGCCTACCAATCACATTCTAATATCCTTAGCACAACAATAAGAACCAAAAAGCGATTTCATGAAAAGATTTTGGATTACCAATTGTATAACAAGACAGAAAACAAAAAGGGAAAGACCAGTTCCTCCTTTAAAAAATAAGCTTTACAAAATACAGCCAGCACTTCCCTTTCTCCACCAGAGATATTTTTCTTCTAGTTTTCTATAGGTCATGAAAAAGAACTTTTCATTAGCTTTGCACTGTGAATGAAACCTCAGACACCCCATGAATGAAAGAGTAGTTTATTTAAACATTTCATGTCCACTGTATTGGAGATCATTATGTACAATCAAACTAAAGGGGAAACTGATAAAAATACATTAGAAACACTTTTCTTCTCTGACATCATGTCTTAATTATATCGCTAGTGGTCATCGAGAGTTCAAATGCTCTGCGCCCTCTCTGTGGGTCGAGACTGTCTCAACAGCTCCAAGTGATCTCACCGAATCTTTGAAACACCTTTGGGGATATGGTGATGACAAAGTCCACGTTATAGACAATGAATTCAAGGCCCACAGTTACCCAACTAGAAGATGACTAAGCTAGGATTCAAACCCACACATGACTGTCCAGAGCCCTTACACCAAACATGAATCCTGAATGGTTTAAGAGCCAAAAGACTGTGTGCCCACCCAGTGCTGCCATAGAGGAAGTAGAAGATATGGCCCTACCCTTGGGAAAATTACCATCTATTTATGGAGAGTCAACTTATCCACGTGAAACAATTAGGGAATGAGAGCAGACAATATAATCAAGTGCCAAGTAGAATGGAGCATCTAGAAAGCCATCAAGTAATTATAGTTTTACCCCCAAAGAGCTGTAGATAATAGCAAGATGTGGAAAAATACTTCTCCGAAGTTGTTCTTTTGCTATTTGGGAAAAAAATGTTTTTGAGCTATTGCGAGGCGTAGAGCAGAGAGTACAGCTAATTCAAGTAGCTATATTTAACGCACATGACAAGTATCCAGTTCTGGGAAGGGATGATGGTATAATTCTAACATTATGCCACACAAATTATACATTCCTTTGCCAAGCTCTTCTAGCAAGCTTTACAGTCTCTTCACTTACCACAGATATTTATAAAATACAAGGAGGTGAAAGTTAAAACCCACAGCCTCAAGGAAATTACTTGGATACTGAGAGCCTGTCGCCTAGGGAATGTTTGGGCTTTAGACTTTTGCAGTTTATATCTTTTAAAAATAAGTGGAGACGAAAAGGAGCCTCATTTGAATTTGTCAAGAAGCCAGCCTCTCCCTTTAATACGCGCTCAGCATACTGAAAACACCCAGCTCAGCTCTGGCCTGATCGAATTTCGCGAAATATCAAGCAAGAGAAGGCTCCCGTGTTTGACTTTACAAAGCCATTCTACTATCAAGATTGCCTCTGTCTCAAATACACTTTTCTCCCTCGTTCTGATCCTTCACTCCACCCCAACACACCAGGGAGACTTGATGTTATGTGTGCCACGCATGTTTTTACATGTAGGCAAAGAACCCCTAAGTTATGGGCCAGCAAACAAAGAGAGAAATTTGAAATATTTCAAAAGTAATAAGAGCCACAAACAGCTGTTTGGTACCCGATATAGGCCTGCCTTGGCTAACAGGGCATACTGTGGCAACTGGTTCAGGAGGGAAGAGTTGTAGGGAAATGGGTTAGGAGAAAATGTGGTTCTGTCGCTGTTTTTCATTATACTGGACAGCAGTGGCCAGTAAGGTTAAGAAGGAAAAAGTTGGTCATTGAAAAGAAAAAAGGGAGGGGGATCCTGAAACACACAGCCTGTTCAGAATGACCGAAGTCCCAGGAGCCGCTAGGGTGGCTGTGACAATGTCCTGGGAAGGAGTTTCTCGAGTTGTAGGTGGTTCACTGCCGTGAGTGGTTCTTTCACCATGTCTTTCCCTCTTTCCACAGATCAGCTTTCAGAAAGACCATGTGGACGATCCTCTTCTCTTAGTGCTACCAACAACTCTCTGACAAACCCACAAGCAGCAGTTCCCAGCACAACTCCAGCGCAGCAAGGCCAGGCAAAGGCGGTGGTAAGTTGAGTCCCCATTCCCTACGCCCTCTGTTTTAAAATCTGTCAAATCAGGTCAGCATCCCAGATGCATTTTCACATGAGGTGTGGTAGATATTCCATTTGTTTGGTGTGTCACCAGACAAATGAGGTACAGAGTGAGTATCAGTTCAAGCTGGAATGCTGGGCTAAAGCAGGTAGGTGGGGCCCAGCCTCAGACACTTGGGGGTGTTGTTTACTAGAATTCAGCTGTCACTTACTTGGGAATGATAAGCAAATATCAGTCACTATGACTGCTCCTGATGGCACTTTGCTGTCACTTTCCTTACCCCATGAGAGTATTAGAATGAGTTATCGCCTGGTATTCACAAGAGTCAATAAATACTCATTGTTGTTCTGGTCTTGCTTGCAATCTTTTTTTTTTCTTTGAATTGAGCAAGACCCAAATGTAGCTGGATGTAGTGGAACAAACCTGCATTCCCAGAACTCTGGAAGCTGAGGCAGGAGCTTCACTAGTTTGAGGTTAACCTGGGCTACATAGCTCACTCACAACCAGTATCTCAAAAGAAGACACAGACACACTTTTAAATATCAGCCCATGACAAATCTCTATATTGGATCTCCTATCTGTCTTTGCATTTGGTCTTAGAAGCTTTCATTTGGGAGGAAATGCCATTTTCTGTTCTTTAACTCTTGTCAAAAGCACCTGGCTTGCTGTAAATCATCATTAACTTGTTATGTCCAGAGCATCTAAGCCAGTGTTTCTTACCCTTTTGGAGACCACTTTCTCCTCCTACTTTTGAGACAGACTCTCACATAACCCAGCCTGGCATAGAACTTTCTAGTCTTGGAGGTAGAATGACCTTGAACTTCAGATACCCCTGCCTCTACCTCCCAAGTGCTAGGACTACAAGTGCATATGATCATACTTGGGCTATACAATGCTGAGGATTGAAACAGGGCTTCTAGATGAATACTCTACCAACTAAGTTACAGAACAGCTCCCCAAACAGATCATTTGGAAAAGATGAATGCTATGGTGCCATATTCTTTGGCCCCTCTTTTAAGTTGCTTATAAAAGCTTATGTGGATAAACTAATATGAGCAAGGAAAACTGCATTGAGCTCATCAGATTTTCATAAAGATGTGTGACTCTCAGAAGCTAAGTCTCGAATTTCTTATTTATGTAATTGTGGGTGTTTTGAGGCAGTCACCTGTAGCTCAGGCTGACCTTGAACTAACTGTGTACCTAAGGATAACCTTGAACTCCCAATCTTCCTCGCCTCAAATCCTAACTGCTAGGATCACAGATGTGTATCTTCCCTTCCTTACCCACCCTACCAAGTTACAGTCCAGCTCCCCCAGCAGATCCTTAGGAGAAGCTGATGAATGCTATGGCAATCTTATGACTTAAGACTAGCCTACTTCAGATTTGTTAGTAACTGAGAGACGGGATCGATTTTTACAAGGGTAGGTTGGTAGCTAATATTTGGACCAAATTTTGTGTTGGAGAGAAGCAGGATGGAATGGTATATTAGTTTGCTTCAGTAGCTGCTTCAGCTAAGCAGCCACGTTTAGAAAATTGTTGAAAGAAAAGGGAACTGAAGTTGTGAGTCCCTCGAAAATGTACATTCTGAAACATGCAATCTTTATTTTAAAAATTTCTAGCATTATTACTGATGCTGTTGTTGTGTGTGCGTGTGCTATATGTATATGAATGCAGATCATGTGAAGATCAGGAAACAATGTTAGGAGTCCCTTCTTTCCTTACATCATGAGCTCCCAGGGTGGTACTCGAGTTGTCATTTCCCAAGACCCTGTAAACACTTGTGTATGGGGGCCCTTAATCTCTCCTGAGACCTATTGAGAGACTGCTAATCTCAACGCTGATGCTAAGCTGGGCATGGTATCATACACCTATGATCACACCACTTGGAAGGCTGAGAGGTAGAAGGATTGCTGTGAGTCCTGCCCAGACTACATAGTGATTTCCAGGCCTGACTGAACTAATAGAACACATTGTCCTGAAAAAAAAAAGAATAAAGTAAATAAATAAATAAATAAGATGGGTTTGGGGTTTTACTCTTTTTAAATTAAAAAATAAATTGTATAGGTATATGTGTTTTGCCTGCATGTATGTCTGGGTACCACTTGCAAAAGTGTTCAAGAAGGCCAGAAAAGGGCAACACATTCTTTGGAACTGGAGTTACAGATGGTTGTGAGCTGCCATGTGTGTGCTAGGAACTGAACTCAGTTTCTCTGGAAGAGAAACTCTTAATTGCTGAGCCATTTCCCCAGATCCCTGGGGTTATGGCCTCGGTAGCTACACTGTGCTTACATCTACATAATTTCCACCCATGCCTCGATTAACAGATTAAGATGACAACTTAATCTGGTGTGGCGTTTGTTTCTCTAGGAGATGACGGAAAATGGAAGTCACCAGTTGATAGTAAAGGCAAGATTCAACTTCAAGCAGACTAATGAAGATGAACTGTCAGTTTGTAAAGGGGACATCATTTATGTCACTCGAGTTGAAGAAGGAGGCTGGTGGGAAGGCACATTAAATGGGAGAACAGGATGGTTCCCTAGCAATTATGTCCGAGAAATTAAACCCAGTGGTAAGTAGAGCTTTTAAAAATCTTCTTACACATGACGCTTCTTACATTGTTCCTTCCCAGTGTTCTTATTGAAAGTGTCTTATTTTAAATTGCTTAACACCAACAGTTATACATGTATGTGTTTGTCCAAAATAAGACTAGGACAGAACTGGGAACAGTTACATACAAAGTTGTATTTAGATTATGTGAAAACCAAATAAGCAAAGGAATCCAAAATGCAAACAACTGTTGTGCTGTAAGTACGTGCCTTTCTGTCCCCTGATTCTAGTCCAGAATGCACAGTGCAGAGTCCTTCCTGCTCCTCTGAGAATCACCATGGCAGAATACAATAACAAGAGAAGCTGAGAGCTAACTTCCCTTTTTAGCACTACATCCTTTAAGCGGACCTAAGGCTTGCTGCCTCAGAGATGTGGGAGAGAGATAACAGTCTCCGGCAGAAAGCTGCCATGGTAGGAGCAAGATTTTCCTTAGTTCATTGCACACCATGAGCCGCTTTCCCCTTTCCTGAATAATATACACACGATAGACTTCAATTGCTCTTTAGAGGTCCTTTTTAGTGTTTTTGTATCTTACTTGTCCTTAAATAAGAAGTCAGACTCTTGTAATACTAAAGAGAAATTAGCGGAGCATTGTGATGTACATCTGTAATCCTATCCCTGGGGAAATGGAGGCAGGTGGATTAAGAGTTTAAGGTCATCTTTACCTGTAAAAGAAAATCTGGGTTAGCATGGGCTACATGAGACCTTGTCTCAAATAAACCAAACAACAACAAAAATCTATAGAACCCTTCCACAGACAGTTTTTGAAAGAATATGGTAATACAGATAAAAGTGCTGTTATTATTATATCTCAAAAATATTTACCCAAGGGCTCCTTTAAATAGCTTGATCCTCGGTGTATTATCACTTTTGTAGATGTCATCTTTGTTTTTAATTTTAATGCTTCATAATTGATGGGGTCAGTGGATGACTCAGTGAGTACAGGTGCTTCCTGCCAAGCCTGACGACGTTAATTTGATCCCCAGTGCCCATGGTAGAAGAAGAGAACCAACTCCCCAAAGTTGTTCTCAGACCCGCACATATGTACCATGTTGCATGCCCTTAAAATAAATGAATGAATAGATACATAAATACATTTTAATTAAAAATGATACTGTGGGCCAGTGAGGTGCTCAGTGGGTGAAGGTGCTTGCTGCCCAGCAAAGTGTTGATTACCCAAGTCTCATGCCCAGAATCCATGGAAAAATGGAAGGAGAGAAGCAACTCCACAAAGATCTCAGCATGCGTACCATGGTCCGAGTGCCCCTCCCACACACACATCATGTTCACACATGCACAACATATTTTTACATTGATACATTTAATTAATACAAATATAGAAAGTATAGATAATGAAAGTTCCTTCTCCCTGCACAGCTGTCCCCAGATAACTATCATTCTTAGAAGGCTTTCCTTAAAGTCCTTAAGATGAAATTTCGTCTTTCTGTGTTCTGGGATGGGGGAGAGGGGCATCTCATCGAATGGAATGTTTAATAGAGGAATTGTAAATATTTGTTTGTATAGACGTCTCATCAGTTTTTGTCATGCTGGGCATGGGTCCCAGGTCCTAATACATGCTGGGCATGGGACCCAGGTCCTAATACATTCTGGGCATGGGACCCAGGTCCTAATACATGCTGGGCAAGTGATTTACCTCTGGTCCAGAGTCCCAGCCCTCAACATTTTTATTTACTGGGAATTGAGACATTTTAAGCTCTGGAAGTATTTTCACAGGCCCTGCCTGGAATTTCCTTGGTTTTGATTATTTTTGCAGCTGACCTTCACTCCCTGCTGTATCTTTCCTTTGACATAATCTGATTGTCAGGATCCTAAACCATTTTCCAGATTTATACTGATGTTCCCTGGTGCAGCGTCCTCATCTGCAACACTAAAAGGGACAGCTTTTGCTGCCTCGCCTGGAAATTCCAAGCATGGCTTACAGGGTAGAGAAGTGCGCATAATGTCTCTCACTGTGATGCCGTAAAGCAATGTGCCTACTTTTTAATGGCCTACCTTAGGGCTTGCTTTCCCTTCCCTTCAAGCTTTTCTTGGGATAATCAGGTTTAAGACAGCAAACTCTGGCCCAACTTGAGCACTTAGGGGATCCCTGGAAACATCCTGCTATTCAGGGTAGGTGTGACTTCAGAGTTCTAAGGCAAAGAAGTTCTAGGATCTGATGTGTGTGGAACAGTATCTCTCACGTAGCTCCTTGTCATCACTTTCTTGTCTTCCCTGCTGTTCTTGTAATTTCTATAATCTAGCCTAAACTAAGTAATCAGGACAATTCATTAACAATGTAACCCAAATCATGGCTCCTCCCAGAAAGTACAAAAGCCTAGGTCATCACAGTAGTGCTGGTTCAACTTTGTCCCTAGATGATCTCACTCCCTGTCACTCATTCCACTTTATACATATTGGTCCCTTGGCCTACCTGACTGTCCAGCCATTGGCAATGTTCTTCTCAGATTTCAGCACTGCTGCTTGCCTTGTGACCTTCAGATCTGCTCTCTTGTGCACGTCGTAGCAGTGCCTTCTGAGTCACCCAGGACAAAGGTGAATTCTATCCCTGCTGCCTCTACCCACCTCTCTGTCCTGCTTCCCTCTTTCTTCTACTGTTTTTCTTCCCCTAATATCTTATCCATTTACTTCTTTATTTATTCAGTTTACTGCCTACATCTTACCTTTAAAATGTGAAGACCACAAGAACACAGACGGTCTTCTGCTTTGTTTATGCTTGTTAAATATTTATAAAATGTCTGGGTGTGAAGGCTTATGCCTATAATTTCCAGAACTTTGGGGAGTGAGACAGGAGGATTGCCCATGAGCTCAAGGCCAGCCTGAGCTCAAGAGACCCTGTCTCAAAAATCAAGATTAAAACAAAATAAAAACTTGTGTGGGGTAAATATGGTCAAAGTACATGACTTACTTGAAAGAAATTGTATATATGTAACCTATGTACAATGAATATAGACCAACAAAAATTGCAGACTTAGAAAATGACCATATTGTAAAATAAATAAATATTATGAGGTAGTTGATGAAATTACATTCATCTTGTTCACTGAGTATCTGATAACCACCTGGGGTGTCTGTAGCAATATTGCCCACAGACTCTGCCCCTAGGACCTTCTTAGGATTATGTGCTTAACTTACAATAGCAGCATGAGACAGAGCAGGCAATTCAGGTAAAGGTCTAAACAAAAGACTATTCAAGCAATGGAGAATCAATTTGATTAGCAGTATTCTAAGTTGAGGGAAGTCCTTGAACAGGATTGTGAAGATTTTCAGAAGGTTCTGTCTGGTGGAAGGCTAAAGAGAGTGAGTTAAAGAATGTTTATAGGGAGGCAGAGAGTAGCAGGCAGAATGATTTTCCTTGAGAATGAAATACATGAGGCCTTGAGCTAGAGCTCAGTGAAGAAGGGCATGGCAAAGTCAAGTTGCTTTTTATTTTTCATTGATAAGTTTAATCATTAATTTTTAAAGGTAATTAGTAAGTGTGGTGGTTTGAACGAAAACATCCCCCAAAGGGAGTAGCACTATTGGAGGTGTGACCTTTTTGAAGCAGATATGGTCTTGTTAGAGCAAATGCGTCTGTGTGGAGGCAGGTTTGGAGGTATCTTTTGCTCAAGCTTATCTCAGTGTGACACAGTCTACTTCTTGTTGCCTACACATCTACATATAGCAGCTCCTTCTCCAGTGCCATGCTTCCTACCATGATGATAATGGACTAAACCTCTGAAAACTGTAAGCTGCCACCTCAGTTAAATATTTTCCTTTGTAAAAGTTGCCATGGTCATGGTGTCTCTTCACAGCAATAGAACAATAATTAAGACAAGGTAGTGAGTTTCATTATTACATTTTTGTACACTCCACTTCACCTGTCCCAGGTCTCCTCTGCCTCTCTTGCTATTTCTTCTCCTCCTATGAATAATCCCACTTGTTCTTGAAATGTCATTATATATACACACACACATATGTAGATTTTGCATGTAAGAAAAGTATGAAATATTTTATTTGCCTTCCACATCACCCTTGTTTTCATCTGCCCTGTCTTAGTTGCTGTTCTATTACTATGAAGAGACATCATGACCAAGGCAACTCTTATGAAAGAAAGTAAAAACCAAAACAAAAAAATCCCCACTACCCCCACAAAAAATCATGGAAAAAAGAAAGGAAAAAAAGCAAAAGAAATAAGGAAAGACACCTTTTCCTTTTGCATACAAAAAATCCATGTTTGCAAAATGTTAAAACAAGCATGATAAGAAAACGTTTCTAAAAAATTTATTTTCTCCATCTGATCCTGTTTAGGAGTTATTAAGTCAGTTGAGGGGATGATTAGTTGCATGGTTAATTAGGTTCATATAAGGCAGATTAGGAAACTTCTCTTCCTCATATGAGACCCTGTCTCAAAAATAAAAATATTCCCTATTTTCTGGATTCTGGAGTAAAATCTTTTGTTTCATCCCTGCTACTGTTAATTTATTTTTTAATTAAATATTGCCCCCCCCGTGTGTGTGTGTGTGTGTGTGTGTGTGTGTGTGTGTGTGTGTGTGTGTACAAGCAAGCAGAGGTGAAAGGACAACTTTGGGAGTCAGTTCTCTGCTTCCACTGTGTGGTTCCAGGGCTGGCTCAAACTGTAGTTTGTCAGCCTTGGTGGCAAGGGCCTTTACCCACTGAACCACATTATACGTCCCTGATATTGCTAATTTGTTCTCTCTGTTTCTCTGTCTGTCTCAATCTTCTCACAGTCTTACTTGAGCTTTGGTTATTGATTTTTTTTGAAAAAATAACGTAAAACCTTCATTAAACTTTTTCTTTGACAATTTCATATATATTTGTAATAATTGCATGATGCATTCCTTCAACCTTTCCTGCCCCTGGCTGTGTCTTTTCAGGCACCCCATTGGTGGAATACACTTATCTTGGCCTTGCTTCTGGTCAGTGACCACATCTTGCTGGTATCTTCCATCCATGTACTAACCAGACTTGACCTTGCTTAGTTCCTGAGATCAAAGGAGATGGGGAAGTTCCATGTGCTGTGTCTGTAGACCTTGCTCTTACACTTAAAAAGTGCTGTTCATCTCTTCATTGTTTTCTTGTTGTATAGCTCAATTAACCTGCAATCCGCTAGGTACCCTTAGCTAGTCTAAGAATTATGACAATTCTCCTGCCTCAGCCACTATAGAAGTGGGATTATAAGTGTGACCCCCACAATAGGCTAAAAAATGTTTGTTCTTTTTAATCAAGGTCAGTTTAAATAATAATTGAGCAAAAACTTGATTTCTAATAAAAATCTTTACTGAAGTCCTGCATCAGGCTCTGCCCAGTGCTATTCACCTAGCCTTTTAATAGTTTTGTCTCTGGGAAGCCTATTGATTGGGAGCAGAGCCGCCTTATCAAGTCATGCCTCAGCTTCGATCTTGGGTCTGTCATTTTCTATCTGCATGACCTTAGGCAAAGGACGTACATCCCTGGTTTTGCGTTCTTTCTCTTCTGTAAGAAAAGATGATCTCCATTTTTCAGGGTGTTGTAAAGATAAATAAAATGTCTTCAATGCTACTTAGTCCCAAATAAATGTTAGGGATATTTTAATACAATAAGAGTTAAAATCAATATTATATGGGAAATATTTATGAAACTATATTGTAATAGAAATACAAGACTATAGAAAAAGATATGTGTGTGTATGTGTGTTCACACATACATATATAAAAGAATGAAAGGACATAATTGTTACTCAGAATGATGCTTAATTTTGGGTAATGGAAAATCATTGAGATTCATTTATGTTTCTGCATTTTTAATTCTTAGGGTTGTCTTGTAAAATATTTATAACTTGAAAGTATTATTTAAAAAGCAATATTAATGTGTGATGACCTATTCTTACTTGGTCATGTGTATTCCACCGTGCTATGGAAAGGGTTTAAAGCAGTGTATGATATAGGAAGATAAGGGCATACAAAGCAAAATGAAGAAAAGGAGACAGTGCAAGCTGGAAAGATACTTTGCAGTGTCACTGCTGAACATTTCTAGCCAGGTGTGGTGGTGCACACCTGTAATCCTGGCACTGGGGGGTGGTGATTGGGTTGAAGCAGGAGGATCAGGAGTTCAAGGCTAGCTTGGGTTACATGGTAAAATCCTATCTCTAAATAGAAATATGAGTGTTTTGTGTTTTATTTGAAATAGAAGACTGTCCTAGGATACCCCAATAGTTGTGAGTTATTGAGTAAGATGATGTCTGTACAAGAAAGGCAGCATTTTCTAACACAACCTAATAACATTAAAATGAAAAAGAAAACAGAGGAGCATTTTACAGAAGTTTTCAGTGAGTTGGAGATTCTGTTTCTTTTATTGGTGGCACAGTAAGCACCCCCAAAAAAGGCACGGTTGGTATTATGTTCCTTTCTGTTTGTGTAATACTTTGCCAGTTACAAATACACTTTGGATTGCTTTGGTTTCACTTACCTGTTTTGAATACATTGAGTGAAGACCCTGACTTCCATAAATAAGCCCAAACTGAGAGTGACACTCCTCTCTGGCTCTGCCATTGATTAGCTATGTATTAACTCTTTGGACTGTTCCTCCCTTGGAACTTGAGAAGTCTGAACAAGAAGATTGAACTTTGGCCTTCTGCAGTTCAGTGATACGTCCACCTACTTAAGGGAGGTACAATCTTTTCACTTAAAACCTTTATACGATGTCAGTTGTTCTATGCTATCCAATGTCCACCATGGAGTTGTATGGAATTAACATTATTTAAATGTCTTTTTCACAGAGAGACCTCTGTCCCCTAAAGCTGTCAAAGGATTTGACACTGCTCCACTTACCAAGAATTACTACACTGTGGTGAGTGTTCAGAGGGCAAAATTGTTTTAACTCAATATGGAGATGTTTTACTCATGAAACCACTTATAATTTTGAGGTTGTACAAAGTTGCATTGTAAGTTTCCAAGGCCGTTTGCATGACATTGGTGCTCATATACTTGTGGGAGTCTTACAGATATCTGGAGGTTTCACATCCACTGTACTGACAACGAAAGAGCCCAGTAATGCTTAGGACTACTAGCAGTGCTGGAAGAGAAGATGGTTAACATGTAGGCACTGTACTGAAATAAGAGACATAGCCTAGCTGTGTGTTTAAAAAGCCCCCAGGTTTCTAAGATGAAATGAGTTTTAAGTGATTGTGTTTTGTTATTTTACTTGAGAGTCAATCAACCCATAACACCCACTGAAATATTATCAACTCTATTTTTGATGAAAGCCTAAATAGAAGACTGCCTTTTGATACAGAAGGGTGGATGAAATGGCTCTGACTTGAACACAGATATGTCAAACTATATTAGCTATAAATAGGGTATGTGTAATAGTCAAAATAAGCTCCTGTTTGAAAAAAGAAATTGCATCATTCTCCTTAATCTATTCTCTGCTTTCCTTCATTTCCTTTCCAGACATGGCCTAGTCACTAATGAAAAGGTCAAGTCATTGTTACCTCTAAGTTGCCTTGTCTGGTAGCCGTATGATCTCCCCCCAACCTCTACTGAAACAACAGCTTCAGTTTTGGCTGTTCCAGTGTTCCATGTGCATTTGTATTACATGCTCATGTCATTTGTGCATGGATAAGGAGTTTTTAATCATCTCTGGACTGGTAAATGAGTGTCATTTGACTTCAAAATTTAAATTCCACTATCCAGTGAAATAAAAATGTTCCATACTGGCGATATAAACACTAGGTGATACAAAAAATCAAGAAGGAGCTTCATAGGTACCATGGGCAACAATCAGAAAGAGATTTTTGTCAATGACTTTCTTCCTGTTAATAGTTATAAAGAAAGGCATGATTCAGCAGAGCTAGCCTAGCAGACAGGGGCTGAAGGGAATCTAGGCAGGGACAACTGTATAAGGAAGGATGTCCCGGCAAGAGGGGCATGCCTACAATTAGTCAAGAGTGACCCACACTATGTTCTCCCCCCAAAATGTCTCTCAGAAGATCAGATTCTTTATTTCTTACAATTACTGCAAGTAGCACACTGTATGAAAATGTTATTGGCAAAATACATGAAAGTTACTCAAGAAAGAGTTCTTGGGCTTATAGTTGGAGGGCGTAGTCCATCATGGAGGCAGCTGCATTCCATCCAATCAGGAACTAGAGAAAATGGAGCTGCTCTGCCCATTCTACTTTGTCATTCCATCGGGGTCTCCACCTCCTGGAATGGTACCACCTTCATTTGGGGATGTGTCTTCCCCTCAGCTAAGCCTCTCTGGAAACAGGCTCACAGACATCCCGGAAGTGTGACTGCCAGGTGTTTATAAGTTCAGTCCAGTTAACGGTGAAATTAATAACCACAGTGCTTTAATGACTTGCAGAACTGGCATGAACCAACACAGGTGAGACAATGGCTGTAACGTGGCAAACCAAATATCCCACCACAGCTCTTAGGACCCTTGCTGTGGCCTTCCACTGGCTTACCTCATTTTCCCTCCCTCCCCGAATTTTCTCTGCCTTTGGGAGCCTAACTCCCCTTTAAATTTAAGTGTGTATGTGTGTGTGTGTGTGTGTGTGTGTGTGAGAGAGAGAGAGAGAAAGTGTGTGAATGAGAGAGAGAAAGTGTGTGAATGAGAGAGAGAGAGAGAGAGAGAGAGACAGAGACAGAGAGAGAGACAGAGAGAGAGACAGAGAGTTTATGATGTCTGGGTGGGCATTTGTCATGCAGGCATATAATGTGTTCCTCTCAGTCCCTTCTTTCTGATCCTTCCTTATCTGCCCCAGTACTTTTCTCTCCCAACTTTCATGTGGTCTTCTATAAACTCACAGAGGTCAAGTTCATTTACTGCTACTTGTATTCCCATGGGTGTGGAGCACTCTCCTGGAGCATGGGTAACCTCTCAGGACCCATTACCCCAAAAGAAATGGACTCTATGTCTCCCAACAACTCTAAATTGCTAATATATACTCAGCTAAGATGAAACTTCATGATCTCCTCCTCTAGCATTCTGGGGTTTTATCTGGATTGATCTAGTGCAGATCTCTCCCTGTACTTTTACATGGATTCTGGGCATATAATTCATGTTGTCTGGCTTGTGCATCATGGGCTTTTACCTGCTGAGCTGTCTCAATGATTCTTACTACCCCCCCATCCCTCTTTGTAAGACAACCTTGGCTGACCTGGAGCTCACAATGTAGACTAGACTAGTCTCAGACTCATAGAGATCCACTTGTCTCCAATACCGGAATTAAAGAGGAACACCACCACGCCCAGCGTTACCACTTCTTATTCCATGGTATAAGACTTTACACACATCTTCATGGAGTCTCTTCTCCATATTCCCCATTATTTTTAACCCTCCTTCTTCCTGGCTTACTCCTCCACTAATCTATTCCATCTGAAGTTTGGAAGTTGATGAAGTGATGGGTTGTGTGGGGCTGGTAAGTCTGTGGTATTGTAAATGAGGTTGCTGGTGTATTGAAAGCCAGTGACTTGGGGGTGTGAAATCAGTCAGTACCCTTAGCGGTAGGTAGACAGTTTTACTGGCATGAAATCAGATATGACCAAATACAGAAATATAGTGTTCTTTTTGCTCTCAAAGGATGTTTCCAACATGCTGTCATTTTTTTTTTACAGGCACCAGAATTATCGCAGACTCCTACAATGTAGTATTGCTTTGATTTAAGGTTTTCTGAGGTCACTATAGTGTTCATTCATAGAGCATACTTCTATTTCTAGGCTATCTATCTATCCTCTTAAAACAATTTCTTCATACATTAATTAGTTTGAGGCAAGGTCTTGCTGTGTCTCAGACTGGCCTAAAATTCACCATATAGTTTAGTCTGGCCTTGAACTTGTGACCCTCCCACTTCAGCCTCCTGAATACAGGAATAACAGGTGTGTGATACCATACCTGGCAATTTTCTCATACTTAAATGACTCTATCCTCTTAGAAAACTTAGTTCCCAAGCTGTATTCACTCCAAAGCCTTTCCAGAAAATGTAGGACTTTTATTTTATGGGAAAATAATAGTTCAGAGTAGAGATACAAGATTGCCACCTCTTTTTCTGTGGCTTTGTGCCATCTGTTCTGTTCTGAAGTCAGGGAAAGGTTAGTTCAGAAAATGGATGCCCGATGTTCTTCTCATGGAGACAGAAGCAGGGAGGCACAGGCAGTGTCTGGACACAGCCGATCTTAGTAAGTTTGAAGGGATTTCCTCCCGATCCAGTTGTACTGCTCTCAAGTTGGTTGGTTTGCCAAGCTCCTTGCCTTCTGACTCAGCACTGAGGCCTTCTGTCCGTGAGCACATAGCCTTCTCTGTTTGCTTCCCTCCTTTTTCCTTTCGATTTAGGCACCCTGTGCCCTGAGAAAGAAGCAGTCCCCATTCATCAGCTGCTCTTTTGAGTTTGAAGAAAGTGAGAAAAGGCTGAGTGAATTTGGGAAAGCATCTCAAGCATTCCCCGGTGAACACTGCTGCCAACGAAACTGCTGCGAGGGCAGTTCCGTGCAATGCATTGCTAATCTCATGTGGTTTGAGAGGAAATAATGGAATGAGAAAGCTCCTTTTCCTTTGGGATGTGTGTGTGTGTGTGTGTGTGTGTGTGTGTGTGTGTGTGTGTGCGTGTCTGTGTCTGTGTGTGCCTGTGTGTGTGAGTGTGTGTCTGTGTATGTATCTGCGTGTTCATGTATATTTGTGCTTGTACATGTGCAGGTGCACATTTATGAACATGCATGTGTGTGGATGCCAGGAGTCAACCTTGGGTGTTATTCCTTAGGAGCCATCCACCTTATTTTTTGAGGCAGAATCTCTTACTGTGAACAGAACACATGCAACCAGATCAGGCAAGCTGGCTAGTGACCCACAGGGCTACACCTGCCATCACCTCGCCAGCACTGGGAAAACAAGCATGTGCCACCAATCTGACTTTGTGTATAGATTCTGTGGATCAAACTCAGTTCTTCAAGCTTGCGTGACAGGCATTTTACTGACTCAGTTCTTTCCCCAGCCTTGACAAGGCTTTTGTCACTTTAGTTTTGTGAGCTCAGCATCCTGCCACTTCGAGAACTTGCAGTTTATGAGTTTCCTCTCAGGGGTGCAGAGAGACTAATTTGGTGAGGAGCCCTGGCCTAGCATTTGGGAGACCGAGCTCCATCTCCAGCATGGGGGGGAGGTCCTTTCCTCCAGCTTGCTCCTCTGCTTCCTTTCTTTTTATTTGAATAGGCATGGTGACCCAGGTTATATGACAGAGACAACAGTCCTTGAAGCAGAGATAAGGACGTGAGATGGCTCATTATCAGACACGCTCTTTTTAGAAAAAAGTGCACAAAAAGATGATTAGAAGTTTCATTCCTTCTTGAATTTGGGAGGGAAGGCATTTAATCCCAACACAACTTCTATACACAACCAAATAAACCCTTTCAAAAGAGATGCTCTTTTATTTTAATAATGTTTTATCTATTTTTATTTCGTGTGTATGAGTGTTTGCCTGTATGCGTGTATGTGAACCATGTGTGTGCCTCTTACCTGCAGAGGCTAGAAGAGGACATTGAATACTCTAGAATTGGAGTTACAGATAGTTTAAGCTGCCTTATGAGTGCTTGGAACCAAACCCTGGTCCTCTGCAAGGGCAGCGAGTGCTCTTAGTCACTGAGCCCTCTCTCCCAACTCCCAAAGAGATCCTTTTAGTAAAGCAATATTCAGGAGTCTTTCCTCCTCCTCAATAGTTAATAAAATATAATACTCATAAATTCTAGGGCATGCACCTCCATTTCTGTGAATACGAAAGAACACGGGCTAGGCATGAGTATAAATGATTACCTGGGATGAATAGTGGACAGGAGCATATATGTCATGGTGTGCAT